ATTTTCCCGAAAATTTGGGAATACAGTACTTTTATTTTTAGTATTACACTACATCTATCCAAACTGATATACGTGTCTTTGTAAAAATGTTGATGACGTCATGGCATTTTTTTTTAATTGCCCCGCTACAAAAATGTAATGAGAAAATAAAACATAATCGTCATGTTTCCGACAGCGAGGGAAGTACTGTCTAAACTCTTTAGACCAGTTTTTTTATTTATTATCAGTTGAAAATTGAATTACATTTTGTGAAATGGTCCAATTTATGCTTTAAAAATATCAAATTGGCCCCGCCCGCCCACCCGTTTTTTTTCTGATCAGTCATTTTATTGGACAAAAAGAGGAATTTCAATTTTCGCAAAAAACTACAAATTGTGCATGTGTAGGATTATAGTATTTGATATAATTTAAAACCCATTTACTGTGTACAATTTTGAAATTGTAAAACGGCTTGAATTTAAACCCCGATTTTCGCTGTCAATGAATCAGGTCGTCTAGTTGGCCTGTTTCCTCTGCGGGATGGAAATAAGACTAAGTGCGTGTGCGATAGTTACGGTTTCCGTGGCACACACTAATTTAAAAAAAAGTAGTCTGCTAGTTTATTATTATTTTATTCGACATCTGTCTCAAAATTTACACAGTGGTACTCAATTGCACGTATTGTTGAAAACATGCACATAAATAAGTCAATACTAGTAGTGCTTAATCAGTGTGTTCAATTTTATTGAAAGCGTGTATACAATAATTCGAAGCCGTTAATCATCACGATTTAACCTGAGTCGATACATGATGGACACGGCAGTGAAGAAAGTTTTAGCAATCTGAAAAACTCAACGTCAAATTTCGCTACCACCTAAACTAGACTATTTTAACATTTCACCTGTAATCCTAAGCGATGATTAAGCGAAATGTTTTCAGAGTACTTAATTGTTAATACTTTGGACGTATTCATCAGAAACACCAAATATTTCTTTTTGTTAATTTCGTTCCAGTGGTACCAATCGACTTGCACCAACGCGTTTGTAACTTCTTCCGGCTGCAAATGATTTTTTTTATCTTAATCTAAAAATCAGTTTACTTACAATATTTTCAAAAGCCTGCCCGCCTACTGCTAGCCCAATTAATGTTAGAAATGACAGTACCGCTAAAGCTACAATTCGAAAATACTGATCCGTCAAAGAATCCGAAAACTTCAAAAAAGCATTAATGAAAATTGCAAACTCGCAGACGGACATAATACCGAAAAATAAAATACAACAACACTAGCCATTACGCCAATACCGCATATTTGAAAAAGAAAAACATAAATTTGGCTTTGTTCGAGAGCTTGTCGACTGCATCTGAAACGAGAAGGATTAAACTTTAATCCGCCATTTTGTGTCACATCAAGGTCATTACAAAGCTGTAAGATATTTCATTATTTCACATACTTATTTAAGGCAATGTGCTTCTCGATAAGGCGCGATAACTTCTCGGTGACTGCTGCATGATATTGTTTGTTGTCTAAACTAATGTAAACTCTTTTTTGATAATTGGCGTTAATTTTTTCAATGGAATATATCAACATGTGTTTCTGCAAAACAAATTCAGCATAATAGTAAACAATACCGAATGCCGGTGAACTTGTAGCCGTATATGTCATTAGAAAGAATCCAAGTTTAAATAAAAACATGGACATAGTTTTAAACCACGGAAAATATTCTTCACATAATTTATAAGGATACATGAGCTCGTTGTCACGATCTGTTGAGATTGTAAGTGAAACTGCTAACAATAATCCCATAGAAACAGCTGTAGTCATATATAGGGTAACATAAAGAGCAGTTTTTTTGACTTGGTTTCTTATTTCTTTAGGTGCGTTACCAATTTTCCAAATTTTCGTATCTTGGAGAGATCTAATCACGATGCTGGTTATATGTGGTTGAGTTATTAAACAAACGAGTGACTACAAGAAACTAAATAGTAGGTACATAACTTTAACGAAATATATTTACATATACGGAGACAAAGTACAAAGGTCCATACTGAATAAAATAATCAAGATCGAATCTTTTAAGAAACAATATTGATTGTAGTAGAACGAAACTACTTAAAATTACCTTATTAAGACCCAGAAAGAATTTTAGAATTTTAAGTTGGAAAATGCCAATGGTAAAGAAATGGCATAATTTCAGGTGATCGTCGGCTAGAAATATTAGTATAATTAATAAAAGAAAAGCAATGAACCAGACAGTGGTGAAGATCATCGCTAATTAGCCAAGGGCGTTTATTATTATTTATTACTCAATATCAGCACTGACATTCTGACTTTTTATTTCATAAAAATTTTGAAAATTTCACTGTGCAACATATACATAAAGGCGATTTTCGTATCTAGATTTTTCTTATTTTAGGTCTCTTTTCCTAAATAAAAATTTATGTTTCACAAAACTATTGACAGTAATGGTGAAAAAGAATTTACGATACAACATTTTACCGTCTTAAAAACAAATATAAATAGATTGTATAAATGATTGGAAGATACCCCGGGGAGAGTAGATGAAATGGCATTTAAATAGTTGCTTACAGAAAATGATTAATCTAAAAAATTAACTACTGATGATCGAATTAAAGAAAAAATAATTAAATGGAAATTAATTCGATAATTAGTGGAATTTTGATAACAATATTGAATAATTAATTATTGCCACTGCCTGGTTCACTACTAATAATAAAAAATGGTGACTTACCTTCCATCGTACGCAGATCACTCTAAGGCAACTTCAAGGACGACACTGAATAAAACGCTTGGTTATTGTAACAAGGTCATTAAGGATAATTAAGAAAATTTACCGGGAACTGAAACTCAATTACATATAACAGTGTTATCGAGCCCCCCTAATAGTGGCTATTAATTCGTTTAGGACACGTGGCAAGTAACGGGTGCTCAGTTGAAAAAGTCATCAAGTTGGAGTTGTTTTTATGTAGAAGGAAGTGTAGCGAAAAACTCATTTATTTTATTACTTGATCACTTCTTTAGTTGAAGGTCCCATTTCAAATGGTATGTCAAATTGTCACAAACGACATTTAAGGACCTTCTGCTAGCTCTATGGAACTATTTCTACAAAGCAATTTCAAGTTCGCAGATCCAATCTTTTGTGTTCACTGATCATGCAAGAATGAACATTATTTTTGCCTGAAGGCCTAAATGTAACTGACTAAAGGGGCTAAAGAGTGTGTACAGATTTTTACGAATCCACTTTCATTTTTTTCGCTAAACGAAGAACATTTGCAAGGTATAATAACGTTCCATTCCCAGAGGGTTTGTCCGTCTCCGTGGAGCAGTGGGTGTATCAGAGAGAACGGTGACTGTGAGTTCGATGCCGAACTTGGTCCTTTCCTTTTTTTGTTGCATTGGTATAATGATGTGACTACTTTTCTTTTATGCTATGACTAAAATTATCCATGTTGATGGAGTCATCACAAATTTTTTATCGGTCGAATTAAGAGTTAACCCATTTTCTCGAAAATGTGAAGAATACGCACGTCTTTATATAATAATGATAAAATAAGTATTATAATATTCAGAACATTTTGTTGGATTGTGGTTTAATTAATAATTTTAGTCCTGATGTGTTTTGAGAAGACAAACTCATTCAAATCAAACTAATTTCTGCGTGACATTCTTTCGATGTATAAACATAAACACTTTCAAGTTGTTTTTCTTATCGAGGATAACCTAAGTACGTACACTAATGGAGTCCATTGGGCAATTTGGTACTTTTATATTTTCCCGATATGTCATATGCTGAGCCTCCCCTAGATCTAGACAAGTTATAATTAACCAAATGTGAATTAATACATCGAAAATCAAAACAAAATGTAGTGTTTTATTGAATAAGTGAAAGTCAGAGCAATAAAAAAGTCTGGACCATTCAATATTAAATACTTATTTTTATTTTAGCTTATAACTGTTGCCATAAAAAAAATTGCTCTAAAGAGTTTAGATAGTACTTCCTTCGCTGTCGGAAACATGACGACTGCATGCCTATTATGTTTTTTTCTCATTACATTTTTGTAGCGGGGTAATTTAAAAAAAATTGTGATGACGTCATCAACATTTTTGCAGGGACACATATATCAGTTTGGATAGATGTTGTGTAATACTAAAAATAAAAATACTGTATTCCCAAATTTTCGGGAAAATGAATTGGGTCGTCTTGAATATTGATTTATAATCAATAAAATAACGAAACAGTTTACTGACGTATGCCGCAGAGGCGACTCAAAATCATTTATGTATGAGAATTCTTAATTTAAGACAACAAGCGATACCACTTGTTGAGATTGTACATGTGAGAGTCAGACAGAGAAACTGTAAACAATACCGATGGTCGCCCAGACTTTTTTATTGCTTCGACTTCCGCTTATTAAAACAGTGGATTTTATTTTAATTTTTGATGGTGGATGGAATGATAAATCACAAGTACAGACTCATCATATTGTATACATTTTAGATAGGACATATTCAGCAAAATTTTGAGGTGACGTCATTAATTTTTGGGGGGGGGCGGGGAGATGAGCAAATACATTTTGACTAGCTGGATTTGACAAACTGTATTTTATGGGCAGGGAATTTCTGTCGAAGTAATCTTGGACCAATTTTTTTCCAGTACACTGTGACTAGTACCTCCTACACTGTTTTACTCAAAGTCAAATTCCGCAAACTCAAATCTTATAATTTCTCAGAGCAGTATTTGTTGGGCTGTACTTTTTTATGAATTTGGCACCCATTGGGACTTGAATTTAAAAAAAATACAATCTTCTACTTTATTATCATTTTAATGAACATTTGGCTCAAAATTAACAAAGTCATACACAATTTCTACACTTATTTGTAGTATGTAAGTTGATCAATCAATGTTAGCCCACGCAAAAACCATTGAATCCATCTAAACATTTCCAGCGCCCTGATCAACATTTTTCAAATAAATTATGCAACACCCACCTAGTGTGTTCAGTTCTACAGAAAGTGATGTATACGATTATAGTCAATAATTTGAAGCTGTTAAACATCACGACTCAACCTGAGTCGATACATAATAGACACAGCAGTGAAGAAAGCTTTGGCAATCTGAAAAAGTCAACGTTCGAATTTCACCACCACCTAAACTAAATTATTTGGACTTTCACCTGTAATCCTAACCGAAGATTAAGCGAAATGTTTTCAGAGAACCTCATGGCTAATACTTTGGACGTATTCGTCAAAAAAATCAAATATTTCATTTTGTTAATTTCGTTCCAGTGGTACCACTCGACTTTAACCAACGCGTCTGTCAGTTCTTCCGACTGAAAATGATTTTTATGATCATCATCTAGAAATCAGTTTACTTACTATATCTTCAATAGTCTGTCCGCTTACTGCTAACCCAATTACTGTTAGAAATGACAGTAGCATTAAAGCTATAATTCGAAGATATTGATCAGTCAAAGAACCCGAAAACTTGAAAAAAGCATTAAAGAATATTACAAACTCACAGATTGATGTCCTACCGTAAAGTAAAATACAACAACACTAGCCATTGTGACAATACCGCTTATTTGAAAAAGAAAAACAAACATTTGGCACTCTTCGAGAGCTTGTCGGCCGTATCTGGAACGAGATAAATTAGAGCTTTATGCGCTAAACTTGCAAGAGCATTCGCCATTTTGTAAGTAGGTATTACAAAATATTTCCCTATTGAATATATGTATTTACTTGTTCAAAATGATGTGGTTCTTGATCACAATCTTCAACTTCTGACTGACTGCAACATGATATTGTTTGTTGTCCAAACTTATGTAAACTCTTTTTTGATAATTGGCGTTAATTTTTTCTATGGAATATATCAACATGTATTTTTGCAACACAAGTTCAGCATAATAATAAATAATACCGAATGCCGGGATACTTGCACTCGCATATGCCATTACAAACAATCCAAATTTAAATACAAACATAGTATTAACTATACTTACATATACGGAAATAAAGTACATAGGTCCATACTGAACGAAATAGTCAAGTTCGAATCTCTTGAGAAACAATATTGATTGTAGTAAAATTAAGATACTTAAAATTACCTTACTTAAACCCAGAAGTAATCTAACAATTTTTAGTTGGAAAATGCCAACGCTAAAGAAATGGCATAATTTCAGGTGCTCGTCGGCTGTAAATATTAGTATATTAGTGGGAATGACGCAAAGCTGGTTCGTTACGTTTCATCCTCTTCACCAAAATAAACTGAAAGCAACTTCGACAACTACACTCAGGAAAATGCTTGGTTAATGTAGCACGCATCATTAAAAGTAATTAGGAAACTTCTCTCATATTGAAACTCAATTATATCAACATTATCGAATTTTCTTGCCAACTTTGGCCATTAATTCGTCTAGGACACGTGGCAAATTTCAAATGGCGTTCAAAGTATACAAAAACCAGTCACGATCTATTAAGAGTATAATAACCGAGTCACGACTCATGACCCTAGGGTACGAGGACGTCTGTATCCACTTATATTAGACACGCAATCTCAAATTTTATATGTACATTAGAAATATCATGTAGATGGTTAAACGCCAACCAAAATTTGGCTAATCATCCCCACCAACAATTTGATGACGTCATTTCAAATGTTTGTAACTTTGGCAACGGTTAATATAATTTATTTGGCATTATTTAGAGTCTAAAATCTGTAACATCTTTGAATAAAAGAGTGATTTTTTTTGTAAATAATTTTCTACCTAGTTCTATTTGTGTGTGTAAAATATTGTAATTAAATTAAAATTCGAAACTATTATTTTTGTTGTGAATATTAATGACGTGTTTGTGTTTCTTTCGTTTTTATTCTTGTCGAAATAAGTCTACACATGTTAAGGAAAAAAGCAAAGTGTAGCCCCGCCCGCCCCCCCTATCTCATTTGTGATGATTTTTTTATTCGTCGTGAGCCAAGAAGGCGGAGCATAACTGCAAAATCTTTATTTCTCTACGAGAAATTAAAAACATGTTTAAGAGTATCGTGTTGTACAAAGAATATTATGTGTACTTGTATTAATCTTTATACATAGGTACTCGTATATAAAAGGCAATGTCCCGACTGACATATCAACGCCCAGCCCAACCCGCTAATGCTAGAAAGTTGAAATTTGGAGAGAATGTTCATTTTATGCTGGAGCCATCGTTTAAGAAGGGATTTTTCGAAATTCATCTCCTAAGGGGGTTAAAAAGGGGTGATAATATTTGTATAGGACCAATATTTTCTACTGTAAATTTACATCGTTACGTGGAACCTGGTACATTTTAATTCTCTTCAATACAAATAATGAAACACGTATTTAAGCATTTTCGGACATTCCACCCCAAAGGGGGTGAAAAGTGGTGTCTAAGTTTAGGCGGCTAAGTTTGTATCGGAACAATATAGATATATATATACTATAAATTGAAATTTTTACGTAAAACTTGGCATTAATGCTCTTCAACACAAATGATGAAACCCGTCTTTAAGCATTTTCTAAAATTCAACCCCTAAGGGGGTGAAATGTGGAGGCTAAGTTTATATGAGAAAATATTTCTATTGTATATTTACATTTTTACGTGAAATTTGGTACTAATGCTCTTCAACACAAGTAATGAAACACGTATTTGAACATTTTCCGAGATTCAACCCCTAAGGGGGTGAAAAATGGTGGCTAACTTTATATCGGAAAATTATTTCTATTGTAAATTTTTGACATGGAATTTAGTATTAATGCATAATGAAACACGTAATTAAGCATTTTCCGAGATTCAACCGCTAAGGGGGTGAAAAGTACTGGTTAAGTTTGTATGGGAAAAGTACTTCTATTGTAAATTTAAATTTTTGCGTGAAACTTGATATTAATGCTCTTCAATACGCAGAATGAAACCCTCATTTAAGGATTTTCCAAGTTTCAACCCCAAAGGGGGTGAAAAGTGGTGGTGAAGTTTGTATGGGAAAAATATTCCTCCTTTAAATTTTTACGGGGAACTTGGCAGGGTATTAATACTCTTCAACACAAATAATGAAACACGTATTTGGGATTCCACCCTTAAGAACATGAAAGGGGGTGACAAAGTTTTTATGAGCAAACATTTTTTATGTCGATTTTTACTGAAAATTATATTAATGTCCTTCAACACATTTTTTACTTGAAGGTTGATAATAATGCTCTTCAACACACAACGAATCGTCTACGCGAGCGAAGCGGCGGGCGAAAAGCTAGTAAGAAAATAAAGCCAAAGATTAAGTCCCACCCATATCCGCCCTGATCTCAATTCTCAGTTGTGATGAAGTTTTTCATTCGCTGTCAGATCGAGGGGCGGGGCTTAATTGCAAGATCTATATTTGTCTACTAGAATTTACCATTTTAAACACGTCTTAAGTTTCTTGTTCTGAAAAGACGACTACGTATATTAAAAAAAAAACAAAATGTAAGTCCCTCATGTTAAATAGACAGAAAGGGGTACAATCGGATACAGGTTTGCCTGTTCTAATCATGATTGCTATGACATTGTTCTAAATACTTATTTTTTCCTAAACTTTGCTCAACTAAATACAGTTTCTAACGATCGAAATATTTTTCTTGACTTAATTTTTACCTATATTACTGATTTAGAAATCATTCCTGCCATTGATCCTATACTTAGTGATAGTTTGCACTACATTTCGTACCCTTGGTCAATATCTATTGCACAAACTGAAAATTTAGAAATGGAATTTTGTGTGTACGATTTTGTGAATGGTAATTATCATCTTCTAAATGATTATTTTGCTTCCATATGCTGGGACAATTGAATTCAACGAAATAGTAGCAGTTTTTTTTCAAATTTTGAGTGTTAGTATGGAAACTTATATTCCACGAAAAATTATAAGGACAAAACCTTCCACATATCTTAAGTGGTTCAACTCAGAATTGAAAACTCTATATCATAAGAAAATTAGAGCACATGTTAAATTTAAACAAAATGGAAACCTACATGATTATTTGTATTTTAAGAGTCTAAGATCTAAATGTAGGAAATTCTCTAAAGATCTTTACAAACTTTATGTAAACGAGGTTAATGCTTCTATTGTCAGCAATCCTAAATTTTTTTGGAAATTTGTTCGTGAGAGGAAGACCAGTAACAATAATGTTCCAAGTGGGATGTCGTATATAAATGAATCAGTGACTGGAGACTAAGGAATTTTTTTCATCGGTTTACACCACTACTAAATTCTTCCAATTTAAAGTGGAATGATTATTTTATTGAAGAAGTTTTAGATGTGGCTTCATCAGTTGATATCAAGGACATATTCGATACAATCTCTTCTCTTAACAATTCTCTAGAACCACTTATTTTTAAAGAACTGTGTGTACACCCTATCTGTGCCATTGTTGGAAGTATTTATCAAATCTTTGTACAGCTTAATAAACCGAAAATAATAATGTTAACGGAAACTTGGTTGTCTTTAAAACATTCCCGATTCACTCATATCCTTAAAAGGGTACTCGCTATATCGCAAAGATCGCGACAATGGCAGAGGGGGCGGGATTTGCATCTTTCTTGATGAAGAAATATCTACAACTTTTCAAATTTCAATAATTCCTTTTGACACGCCCACTGGATGTGAATCATTAGCTGTAAATTTTCTCTCTTCCAAATTCAGTTTGTCAATTTGCTGCATTTACAGACCTTTTTTTGTACCCGTACCCGACATGGATTTTTCTCTATTCAATAGCATACAAAATTTTTCACTCTCCAACAAAAATGTAATAATTGCTGGTGACTTCAATATGTTTTATCTATCCTGGCCTCTACAACCTCATTCACCCTACAACGAAATTATTCTCGATTCAATACACGAAGGAAATTTAACTCAACTAGTAACAGAACCAACAAGAATTCGTCAAAATCAAACTCCCTCACAAACTGATCTAATTTTTGCAAATGACCCTGATTTGCTTACTAAAATAGAATACCTCCCTCCTTTTGGCAAATCGGACCATCTTGTTATACCGTCAAACCTTCAAATTTATGTTAACCCAACAAAGAAGTTGGTCAATAAAATTAAACACACAAACTATGGAAACGTTAGACGGGATCTTGCCAATTTTAACTGGAATTCAATGTTTCAAACTGCAAACACTTGCGAAATGTGGGAAGTATTTCAATCTAAACTATCGGCCTCTGTCAACAACCATTCATATGTATATGTTAAAGAAATTAAACTAATTCCTAACAAACCATGGATTGACAATCGTCTACTTCAGTTAATCAAACATAAACGTCAACTTTGGGCTCGTTATAAAAACAATTCGTCAGAAGATAGGTATCGTGAACATAGAATATTCTCAAATCATGTCACTACAGAATTGAAAAAAGCAAGGCAACTCTTCGAAAACAACTTAACAGAGACGGAGTCTCCGAAAAAGTTTTACAAATATATTAGATCAATGCTTTCAACAAAAGTGGGAATTTCTTTACTACGAAAACCTGACGGTTCACTTTGTACGTCTAACCAACAAACGGCCGATATTCTTGCGGACGAATTTTACCACAACTATAGTAAAGAAACGTTTGGCTCCTTTATTCAATCATCTATACACCATAAAAACTTTTTGTCAACCATATCTATTACCGAAGAAAACATAAACGCAACTCTAGAGGAAATAGAAGGAAAAGTGCCCCAGGGCCCGACAATATCACATGCCAACTGATTGCTGCATGTTTAGACGAAATTGTATACCCTATATACTTAATCGCCAAATCCTCTTTTGAAGAAAGTATTTTACCCCCTCAGTGGTTAACTGCAAATGAAACCTATCTACAAAAAAGGCGATAAGTTCTCTCCCAAAAACTATCGACAAATAAGCTTA